TGTGTATTTCAATATTTAAACATTTGCTATCACATATTTATTTGAGATTTGTTATTCCATGTGCCCAACTAGCACCTAATTAACAGTTTACATGAAAATTGTATCAGGTCGATGACTTTTTTTTGAAATTTTTAGATTTTTTTTTTAATTTTCCAATAACAATTTTCTGAAGGGCCCAATTAGTGACACTTTGACATTTTATGGGCATCTAAGGTTAAAGGAAAAATTTATCTTTTCTTCGCCATTGGCAATTTTTTCCTTTAGCATTTGTCTGGTCTCCTTAAGACCGGCATCTTCCAACAACTTCACAGATTCCTGCTCCTCCTCATTTAGGGTGTCGGTTTCATGGCCCACCTCCTGTGAATTCATTTTCAGGTATGTTGGTAAATAAGCAAAGGCCCTTGCCATCTTTGTACTGCAACGAATTTTTTCTTGAAAATATTCATCAATAATTTTATGGCGTTCTTCGCTGGTCATAGAGGGCAGGATAACACGAGTACTGGGTGCGGCAAGAAGAACCTGGAAAATTAGTTTTTTAATCTATTTTTCTCGTCCTAAAAACGTTTAGTTCCTTACCTGATTTAGAGTCACTATTATGACAACACAATAAAGAATTCGTAACATTATCGATCTGCACTTCGTAGATTTCCAATTAAAAATTGAGAACTATAAACTAAAGCTTGACTGGGTTTTATATTAAATTTCAATATTTTTTCTCACTTTCAGAAAAGCTAACTAAGCAAAACCGATTAGTCTCGATGAAAAAAATAGTGATAAGAAATCATCAAAAGGTCGGAAAAACTCGCAGGTCATATAATAATAAAAAACAATGTAAAGTAACTAAATGGGGGATTTTGAAAGGAAACCTTTTTCATGGACCAACAGGGGCAAGAATTTGAAAATAATGCATACACTGAAAAGGTTCGAAGTGGTTTTGAGAAACTATGGAGAGGTCCGAAGAGGTTTTGAGGTGATCTGTAGAGGTCCGAATAGATTGTTTTCAGCACTGACGAAGTCCGAATAGATATGGGATATACAAAAGATGTCCGAAATGGTTCTGATAACCTATAAAGATATCCGAATTGGTTCTGTTAAGCTATAAGAGGTTCGAAGTGGTTTCGAGGGACTCTGGAGAGGTCCGAAGTGATTTTGAAGTGAAGATGTCCGAATAGATTATAGGATACACATAAGATGTCGGAATTGGTTCTGAGGAGCCCTGAAGAGGTCTAAAGTGGTTTTGAGTTCTTCTGAAGAGGTCCAAATAGGCTACGAGGAATTCTGAAGAGGTCCGAATAGATTGTTTTAGCTCTAAAGAGGTTCGAATAGATTATGGTATATACTAAAAAAAGGTCCGAATTGGTTCTGAGGAGCCCTGAAGAGTTCTAAAGTGGTTTTGAGTTCTTCTGATGAGATCCGAATAAATTATGAGGAATTCTGAGGAGGTCTTAAAAGATTATTAGCAGCTCGGAAGAGGTTCGATTAGATTGTAGAGGCCAAAAGTTGTTTTGATGAGGTTCGAATAATCTATTATCTGCTTTGAAAAAGTCAGAATCTGATCAGAAGAACTTCGAATCGTTTATGTGATATTCAAAAGATGGCCGATTTGGTTCACAGGAGCTATAAAGAGGTCATTAAAGACTATAAGATACTCATACGCTATTAGTATCTTTGAAGACGACCAAATAATGTACGAAGTGGTGGGAACTCTGTAGAGGATCGAATAGGTTATAGGATGCTGTGAATGTGAATTGGTTCTGAGGAGCTGTCAATAGTTCCGATTAGGTTTTGGGACTCTAAAAAATGCTCGAACATGTTATGAAGAGCCCTAAAGAGGGCCGAATGGGTATGGGGATATTCAAAAACAGGTGTGAATTGCTTCTGAGGAGCTGTCAATAGTTCCCATTAGGTTTTGGAACACTCAAAAGTGGCCGAACATGTTATGAAGAGCCCTAATGAGGTCCGAATGGGTATCGGGATATTCAAAAAAAAAAAAGCTCTGAAGTGGTCTGAATAAGTTCTGAGGTGCTATAGATATTTCCGATTACGTTATGGGACACTCAAAAGTGGTTCGTAATTGCGAAGTCTGTAAATTTTCGAATAGGTTAAAGAAAGCTCAAAAGAGGGCTGAATTACTCAAAAGCATCTCTGAAGTGGTCTGAATAGGTTTTGAGGAGCTACAAAATAGTTCCGCTTACGTTATGGGACACTCAAAAGTGGTTCGAGTATGTTATGAGGATATCTGAAGAGATCCAACATGGTTTTGAGTAGCTATAAGGAGGTCCGAATAGGATTCGGGATACTCAAAAGCAGCTCTAAAGAGATCCTAATTGGTTCTGAGAACTATAAACAAGGACGAATAGGTTATGGGACTCTGAAAAGAGATCCGAATATGTTTTGAGGATCTCTGATGAGATTCAAAAATGTTCTGAGTAGCTATAAGTAGGTCCGAATAGTATACGGGATAATCAAAAGCAGCTCTGAAAAGATCCAAAATGTTTTTTAATAGCTTAAAAGTTGTCCGAATAGGTTTCGAGTTACTTAAAGGAGGTTCGAATATGCTATGAGCAGCTCTGAAGAGATCTGAGGTGCTATAAGGAAGTCCGAATATGTTATTGGAAACTCATAAGAGGTCCGATTATGTTACGAATATATTATCAGCGCTTCGGAAACGAACTGAATATGATAAACAGCTCATACGAGGTCCGAATTCGTTCTGAGGAGCTATAAATAGGTCTAAATAAGTTTCGGAATACTCAAAAGAGGTCCGAATATGTTATAAGGAGCTCTTAAGTTGTTCAGGTTGATTATTAGCGACTTGGAAAAGATATGAATATGTTTCTGAGGAAGTCCGAATTGGTTCTGTGGAGCTATAAATAAGTCCGTATAAGTTATGGGATACTCATAAGAGGTCGCAATATCTTACGTATAGATTATTAGCGCTTCGGAAAATATTTGTTTATGTTATGATCAGCTCTAAAGATGTCCAAAATGGTTCTGATGAGCTATAAAGAGGTTCGAACAGGTTTCGGGATACTCAAAAGCAGTTCTGAAAAAAATCGAATTGGTTCTGAGGAGCCATAAATGGGTTTTACCCATACTCACAATATGTTCGAATACGCTATGAGAAGCGCTGAAGTGGTCCGATTAGATTATCAGGGCTTCAAAAAAATATATATCTGAATATCTCATCAGCAGCTCTAATGAGGTCCGAATTGATTCTGAGGAGCTATATAGAGGATCGAATATGAAGAAGTTCGAATATATTATAGGCAATTCTGAAGCTGTCCGAAGTGGTTTAGAAGAGCTCTGAAGAGGAGCAAGGACAAACAGAATTATAAAAATATCTTTTCCAAGGACCAAACGAGGCGAGGATTTTTAAGAAATATTTTTTCCCAGGACGAACAGAGTTATAAATGAATATGAAGAGGTCCGAATATATTATAAGCAATTCTGAAGCTGTTCGAAGTGGTTTAGAAAAGCTCTGAAGAGGAGCAAGGACAAACAGAGTTATAAAAATATCGTTTCCAAGGTCCAAACGAGGCGTGGATTTTTAAGAAATATTTTTTCCAAGGACGAACAGATTTATAAATGAATATGAAGAGGTCCGAATATATTATAGACAATTCTGAAGCTGTCTGAAGTGGTTTAGAAAAGCTCTGAAGAACGAACATAGTTATAAAAAATATCTTTTCCAAGGACCAATCGAGGCGTGGATTTTTAAGAAATATTGTTTCAAGGACCTTTAACACGTGTGGATTTGTTAAGAAATATTTTTCAAGGACATTCAACAGGCGCTGATTTTTTAGAACTATTTTTCAAATACCTTAAACAGGCGCGGATTTTTAAGAAATATTTTTCAAGGACATTCAACAGGCGCGGATTTTTAAAATATATTTTCTTCAATGACAACAGGGTTGGATGTATAAAAAAATAATACTTCCAGGACTTTTAACAGGCGTGGATGTATAAAAAAAATATTTTTCCAGGTCCCACAGAAGGCGTGGCTTTATAAAAATAAAATATATATTCCAGGACATTCAACATGCGTGGATGTATAAAAAAAATATATTTTCCAGGACCTTCAACAGGCGTTAATTTCTTCCAGACCCTTCAGAAGGCGTTGATGTATAGAAAATATTTTTCAACGACCTTCAATAGGTGTGGATTTAGAAAAAATATGTTTACCGGAACCTCAAACTGACATGACGTTTTTTAATATATTTTTGCAAGGACTTATTTAATATTTTGTCCTGGTGTGGATTTTTTAAAAAAATATTTTCAAAATGTGTATATTCAAAGACCTTCCAGGGACGTGGTTTTTTTAATATCCAACCTATAAGAAGCGTGGATTTTTTAAAAATATTTTTCAAGGTCCTTCAATAGATGCGGATTTGTAAAATATATATTTTTTCATGGTTCATTGACAATTTTTTTAAATAAATGTTTAATTAAAGTGTTTTTTTTAGAATTAACTGGAAAATAACTTTTTTCCCGCGAGACCATGAAATAAAAAAAAAAAACAAATAATCAACCCGACAAATAATCTGATCAGAAAAATATTTTCCCATAATTTAGACAAATAACAAGTGGGTGGTGGGCGTATAATTTGTTTTTTTGGTCAACACTTTCCGCCAACAAAACAAATTAAAACAGCCAACAACAACAACAAAAACCACAGCAAATACCCTTGAATTCTTCAGCATGCTTTGTCGTCGCGATATGCGTACGACAGACATTCTGGTCAAAGCGCATAAATTCGCCATAAAATTGGAAAAGTTTGTGATTTTTTTGGTTTTGAGGAAAAACATTTGTCACTTTGGGGACTTAAGCACCCGTGGCAATCAGTACCACAACAACAACAATAGCCATAAATAAAATGTATATTTCAACTGTTTTTTTTGTGTTCCCATGGAATATTTGTGATAGGCGCTAATTTTTGTTTTCATCGAAGTTATTTTTGGAAATGTGATGACACTGACACTCCTACCCACCCGATCGATTTTTTACTTACCAATTGTCGTATAGATGGTACTGCAGAAAAACATGGCATTCCAAAAGGACCAGGTCTTCTGTGGTGCTGCCAACTCCTCCAGTGTCTTATTGTTATTCAGCAGTGACTCCACACCCGACTGATGATCACGCAGTGTTCGTATCAGTTTGCCATCAAACTCTTTGGGACTGTACTATAAGAAAGGGCGTAGGGGAGAGGTGAGAGGTTAACGAAGGCAATTGGGGAATGGTGGGACTCAAAATCTACTATTACCTTTCTCATTTCATGATCTTCGGCCAGACGACGTATGGCATTGAAAAATTGTTTCTGTGCCTCGTGGGTGTTAATGTGGGCCACTTCTTCTTGTCGGCCTGGAAAGAAAAGAGGCGGAGAGGGAAATGGATGAATTAATAATAAAATAAAGTAGGAAAAACCAGATGAGAATATAAAAAATATCTTTTTCCTTCAACCTTCAACAGAAGTCGATTTAAAAATATATTTTTAAAGTACCTTTAAAAGGAGTAGATTCTGATAATGTATTTTTCAAGGGCCTTCAACAAGCGATGAAGTTTTAAAAAATGTTTTTTACCGCCCATCATAAGCGAGGATTTCTTGAAAACACTTTTTTGAAGACCTTCAGCAGACAGAGTTTAAAACAAAAAATATTTTAAGGACCCTTTAAAAATTTTTAAGTCCTTACAAAGGGCTTAGATTTTTTAAAAAAAAAAAATTACGGAACTTCAATAGGAATGGATCTTTTTCTAGGAGCTTACAAAGGGCTAAGATTTATTAAAAAAAGATTTTAAGGAACTTCAACAGATATGGATCTTTTAAAAATATATTTCAAGGTCTTGCAGAATACTAAGATTTTTAAAAATATAATCTGAGGACCTACAACAGACATGGATCGTTTAAAAATATTTTTCCAAGCCTTAACCAGTAAGGAGAGTATTAAAGTCGGACTGGGCCGACTATATGATACCCTACACCACTCGAAAGAACATACTCATGTCTTCCTGCAACCTATGATAAATTTAATTTCATTCGGGCAGATTTAGAGTCTTCTGCGTACCATGGGATAAATATATGGAAAACGATTTATATTTGGTACGCCGCACTGTTAAAAATTTAATTTCAATCATACAACCGTCCGAAATACATATGGAAGCTATGGCTGCATCTGCACCAATTTCAACAAAACCGTATAACGTCATTCAAGTCTCAATTTAATACGTTCGTGTTAATCGGACAAACATAAGGAGTTTGGTGCACCATATATGTAAAACCGGACGAAAATATATATGGGAGCTATATCTAAATCTGAACCGATTTTCACGAAACTTAGCAAACATCATTCTAGACATAATTCAGTACGTTATGCCAAATTTCGAAAAAATCGAAAAATATATAGGCACTTCAGTACGCCATTTACATAAAATCGGACGAAAATATATATGGGAGCCATATCTAAATCTGAACCGATTTTACACACACCATTCTAGGCTTAATTTAGCACGCTGCGCCAAATTTCGTGCAAATCGAAGCATATTTAGGGACTTTGGTGCACCATTTACCTCAAATCGGACGAATATATGGCAGCTATATCTAAATCTGAACCGATTTTCACGAAACTTAGCACACATCATTCTAGACTCAATGTAGTACGCTGTGCTAAATTTCGTGCAAATCGAAGCATTTTTAGGGACTTTGGTAAACCATTTACCTTAAATCGGACGGAAATATATATGGGAGCTATATCTAAATCTGAACCGATTTTAACGAAACTTAGCACACATCATTCTAGGCTTAATTTAGTACGCTGTGCCGAATTTTGTGCAAATCGACAGATATTTAGGGACTTTGGTCCACCATTTACCTCAAATCGGACGAATATATATATGGCAGCTATATCATAATCTGAACCTATTTTCACGAAACTTAACACACTTTATTATATACTCAATTTAGTATGCTGTGCTAAATTTCGTGCAAATCGAAGCGTATTTAGGGACTTTGGACCACCATTTACCTAAAATCGGGCGAAACTATATATGGGAGCTAATCTAAATCTGAACCGATTTTCACGAAACTTAGCACACACCATTCTAGACCTAATTCAGTCGGCTATACCAAATTTCGTGCAAATCGAAATATATATAGAGACTTTGGTATGCCATTTACATAAAATCAGACGAAACTATATATGAGAGCTATATCTAAATCTGAACCTATTTTCACGAAAATTAGCACACATAATTTCAGGCTTAATTCAGTACGCTGTGCCAAATTTTGTGCTAATCGAAGCATATTTTGGAATTTTGGTCCACCATTTACTTTAAATCGGACGTAAATATATATGGGAGCTATTTCTGAATTTGAACCGATTTTCACGAAACTTAGCACACATCATTCTAGATCTAATTCAGTAGGCTATACCAAATTTCGTCCTAATCGAAAGATATATACTGTTGTACACAATTAACTTTAAATCTGCCGAAACTATATATGGGAGCTATATCTAAATCTGAAACGATTTTCACGAAACTTGGCACACATCATTCTAGACCTAATTCAGTAGGCTATACCAAATACCAAAATCGAATGATATATAGGGACTTTGGTATCCCATTTACATTAAATCGGACGAAACTAAATATGGGAGCTATATCTAAATCTGAACCGATTTTCTCCAATTTCAATAGGGTTTGTCCTTGGACCAAATAAATAAGCTGTGCCAAATTCCCTCCAATTCGAATCATAAATGCCACCTGTACTTTGTTAACAAAAATACATGGACGCACGGTGGACAGACGAACATGCGTAAATCGACTTAGAAAGTGATTCTATGCATATTCTCAAAATGAACCACGGGTCTATCTCGATCCCTTTTGCCTGTTACAAACATATTCACAAAGACATAATACCCTGTACCACAGTGTGGTACAGGGTACAGTACCTCTTTCGATTCGTGGAAAAATTATTCTTGAAATATCCACACCTCCGTTGGTCCTTGGAAAAATTATTCTTTAAACTCCACTCCTCCATTGGTCCTTGGAAAAATTATTCTTGAAATAATTTCCACTCCTCCTTTGGTCTTTGGAAAAATTATTCTTGAAATATCCACTCCTACTTTGGTCCTTGGAAAAAATATTCTTTAAAAAATCCACGCCTCTGTTGGTCCTTGGAAAAAATATTTTTTAAAAATCCACGCCTATGTTGGTCCTTGGAAAAAATATTCTTTAAAAAATCCACGCCTCTGTTGGTCCTTGTAAAAAATATTCCTTAAAAAATCCACGCCTCTGTTGGTCCTTGGAAAAAATATTCTTTAAAAATCCACGCCTATTGATCTGTTAGTCCTTGGAAAAAATATTCTTTAAAAAATCCACGCCTCTGTTGGTCCTTGGAAAAAATATTCTTTAAAAAATCCACGCCTATGTTGGTCCTTGGAAAAAATATTCTTTAAAAAATCCACGCCTCTGATGGTCTTTGGAAAAAATATTCTTTAGAAAATCCACGCTTCTCTTGGTCCTTGGAAAAAATATTCTTTAAAAATTCGCGACTTGGAAAAAAATAAATTTTTTTAAATTCCACTCATTTTCCAAACAGTATTTTCCCCCAATAGAAAAATAATTATTTTTTTCTAGAAAAAATTTCAAAATATTTTCAGCTCCCATGTTGAGTGAACCCATAAAATTGATGAACATCAATTTGAATCGAATTAACATAATTTATTGCTGAAGGCATAAGTGCACCTCAGTGCGTGCGTGCCTTCCTAAATATTCCAAATCAATCTTCTGCTGCTATTCCAAATTTGAATCTCAATTGTTATTTGTTTATAACCGCGTTTAATCATTTTGTATTCCAAAATTATTCTAATTAAAGCAAATTACAGTTCCATAAAATTCTAAAATCGAAACTTTTCACATAAATTTTTCGGTCAGTATTCTGCACAGAATCTCCTTTCAAGATTTTAGTTTATGGATTTTAATATTCCCCCAACAATTATTGATGGGGAATTTTTATTTCAAATTGTGATTATAAATTTGTGTTTAATTTCAAATTTTTTTTTTCGAATTTTATTCATATTTAAGTTTGTTTGTTTATAGAATTGTTTTGGTTTGGCAAATTTATGGAGCATTTCCTTTTGGGGGCAACATGATGTCGGGAATTCAGCTAAATGCCCTGTAGGCAAAATGTTGTTTTTTTTTAATTAAAAAAAAAAACAAATAAGAAATAAAAATATTAAAATTGGGGAGAGTATGGACCTCACAAAAAATATACTTCTAAGATAATTTTGAGGTCATTGGAAAAATACAAATTAAAACCAGTAAGGAAAGGAGTGAAGTCTAACGGTGCCGACTATATGATACCCTTCACCACTTTGGGTATATTCAACTGATGAATTTTAACAGACGTCGTATTCTTGAAGGACCACTAAAATGAAATTGGATCCATAAACATGGCATTCTGCAAACTATACTAAATTTTTCATTTGGTCAAATATATATCTGATCCTATATCTAAGTCTGAACCGATTTCAACGAGATTTGAAAGAGATTAATTTATATTACCTTCATTGTACAAAATTATGTGGCAGCTGGACAAACATAGGGTCTTTAGAGCACAATTTACATAAAATCGAATTTTCTTGAAACTTGGCACACTTCGTTCGTGCAAATCGAAAGATATATCGAAACTTTGCTGCCCCATTTACCTTAAATCGGAAGAAAATATATATGGGAGCTATATATAAATCTGACCCGATTTTCTCGAAACTTGGCACACTTCGTTCTGGACCTAATTTAGTACACTATGCCAAATTTCGTGCAAATCGAAAGATATATAGGAACTTTGGTGTCCAATTTACCTTAAATCGGAGGAAAATATATATTGGAGCTATATATAAATTTGACCCGATTTTCTAGAAACTTCGCACACTTCGTTCTGGACCTAATTCAGTACACTATGCCAAATTTCGTGCAAATCGAAAGATATATAGGAACTTTGGTGCCCCATTTATCTTAAATCGGACGAAACTATATATGGGAGCTAAATCTAAATCTGAACCGATTTTCACGAAACTTAGCACACATCATTCTAGACTCAATTCAGTACGCTATGGCAAATTTCGTGCAAATCGAAGAATATGTAGAAACTTTGGTGCACCATTTACCTTAAATCGGACGAAAATATATATGGGAGCTATATATAAATCTGAACCGATTTTCTCGAAACTTGGCACACTTCGTTCTGGACCTAATTCAGTACTCTATGCCAAATTTCGTTCAAATCGAAAGATATATAGAAACTGTGGTGTCTCATTTACCTTAAATCGGACGAAACTATATATGGGAGCTATATCTAAATCAAA